CCCCCGAAGCTGGCATCAGAGCCCACCGAGGCGCAGGCCACCAGGAACCAGCAGGCACACAGCAGCGCCAGCATGGCTGGACTCCGGCACCTGCGGGCACCCCGGGGGCGGGGGTGAAGTGAGGCTTAGTCAGTAGAGACAGGGAATCTCCGGAACCGCAAGTCCTTGGGTCCAACCCATCCCCACCAAGATACGTCCTCGTCCAGTCGTTCTTTCAGCCCTTATTTCTCCAGGTTCAGAAACTGTGCTTATAAACACGAATGGCACGAAAATCTCAAGAAACTAACTTGTAGGAATCTTTCTGAGCCACGAATCTGATCATGGTTCTCCCAAGCCCTAGCTTCCTGGGTGGGGAGTCTCGGGGCAGGTGGGAGAGGACCTTGGGGCCGTGAGAGGGAAGGTCGTGGTCCTTCCAGACGCCTCCCCGTCTGCATCTCCCCGCCCTGCCACTCTAAGCATCCCCCTTGCAGGCCTTCCTAAGACTTGCTGCCCCTGCCTCTGGGCCTTGGCCGTGTGGTGCCCTCTCTCAGAGGTGCCCTGTCCCCCTTCTCAACCAGGTTGGTAGATGTGAAGACAGAAACTCTGTTTTACTCATCAGTGCCCCAAGTGCCTGGGCCTGTACTGGCAGTGGGAAACCTTTAATAGGTGACTGTTGAATGAGGAGTTCACTGAGGGACAGACATGTCACCCAGTCATTCCAGCTTCATCCTGTGATTAAAGATGGAGCCGGGTGCTAGGGATGGATGGAGGAAGCAGTGACCATGTCCCTGAGGAACTCCGGGAAGGCTTTCCGGAGGAGGTGGGTTTTGAGCTGGGTTCTACAAGACAAGTAGGAGTTTTTCAGCCAAGCCAGGTTGAAAGCTCATTTCAGGCAGAAGGCACAGCATGGCATGTTCACACACTGTGAAAAGACACTGTTGGGGGGCCAGGGCGGGGGGAGGACGGATAGGAGGGGGAATCAGTGTGGCTGGAACATGACTGGTGCCACGGGGGAGAAGTCGAAGCTCAAGGGTGAACTTTGAGCCAGGGGTTGAGGGGGTGGATTTGCTGTGCTGATCATGGATATTAACTGGGAGGCTTGTATGGATGGAAGTTTTTGAGCAGAAAAGTGGGTGATGAGATAGCCTTTAGCTCATTAAGTCTGGCAGGAGGAAGGATGTGGGGTGGTCTTCAGGGGAGAAGAAATGGGAATAGCCTAGGGAGAGATGGAGACTCTGAGCAGGAGAAACAGATAGTCAGAGGGCGATGCGTTCGGAAGCTGTTGCAGCAGCAATGAAGGCTTTCTCCAAGGTGGAGGCAGCAGAGGTAGAGGGGGCATGGGTTGCGGAGACACCGTGGGGAACCCTGTGGGGAAGGAGGGGGAGAAGGTGAGGATGACTGAGTTCCCAGGGGAGCCTGGGTGCCTGGAGAATGGTCAAAGGCCATGAGGAGAGAGGGGAAGATGCTGGGGAGTGCCCAGGTGGGATGTTCAACAGAGGCCTGGAAATGCAGCTGTGGCTCGAGGAAGCAGCAGCGCCGCGGGGAAGGGCTCTCAGGATCGGCTGCACTTGAGATTCTGGCTCTTAGACACCAGAGGCCTGCGCTCCACCCTAAGAAAATCTGATCCCATGGGCCGGGATTGTCTTTTTAAAAATAAAAAAAAAGTTCCATCAAAGATTCTGGGACCCAGCCAGGGACTTTTAGAGTCAGACACAGATTCAAAGCCCAATCCAAACCACTGTGACACCATCAGGAAGGTCTGACTCTGTCTTAGCTACTTGAAAATAAGCCCCGTAATACCAGTGAGGGTCCCGGTTAAGTATTAAACAAGATACTATGTTCCAGGCTCCTTTCACATGTTTAAGTCTGCCCTCAGGGGTCACTGCTGCCTCCCAAAAACTGGTTTGAGGGTCAGCTGCACTTCCAAAGGCCTTCTCCAACCCCAAAGCAAGCGTCGTTGTAAAAGCCAACGCCAGGGTTGAGTATTGATTCTTTCAACAATCATTACACAAAGTGGGTCTGGTAGGGTGATGAAGAGAATGGATTCTGAGCCCCGGCCAGGTGGTTCAGTTGGTTGCAGCATCAACCCAGGCACCAAGGGTTTTGATTCCCAGTCAGGGCACATGCCTAGCTTTCAGATTTGATCCCCGGTCAGGGCGAGTACAGGAAGGAACCAATCGATGTTTCTCTCTCAGATCGCTGTTTCTCCCCCCACCCCCCTCCCTACCCCCCCTTCCTCTCTCTCTCAAATCAATTTTTTAAAACAACCCAAAAAGTGTCCTTGGGTGAGGAGGAAAAAAAATAATAATAGATTCTGAAGCTCCCTGCCTAGGCCTGAAACTGACTCTGCCCTGCGCTCGCTAAGGGTTCGCTGTTACTGTTATTTTTGTTGCAGAGCAGCGGAGTGGCTGGACTGCAATCTCTAACCGGGCCCCACCTCCTCTCTGAGCCTCAGTTTTCTTAATCCGCAATTAGGGATGATTACACTTCCCTTTGGGCTTTGCTGTGACACTCAGAAGAGACCATTAGAATTGCTAACATACATTGAACACACGTGCCTGGCACTGTTGAAAGCAGTTGGCACGTGTCAATTCATGTGAGCCTCACAAGAACTCTGTGGGGTGGGTGGTATTGTGGTCCCCATTTTGAAGCATGGGGAAGCTGAGGCGCAGAGAGGCGAGTGTGTTGTCCAAGGTTACACATTCAGCAACGGTGGAGGACAAGATTGGAAAGCGTGTGGTCTGCTCCGAGCCCCTGGCTTAGACCCCACACTGCACAGCTCTCATCAAAGGCACTGAGCTCAGAGTGGGGACCTAGAAAGTTCTCCATTCATGGAATGGAGAACTTTCTAGGTCCCCAGCTCTTTTCTCAGGGGTCAGAGACAAACCACAGATAGAGATTTCAGGCCCAACAGATGAGAGCTGATACCGAAGCCGGGAGCAGAGGATCCCAGGAAAGGCTCCAAGAAGGCCTGGCAGGTGAGGAGGAAAGCCCAGAAAGTGACATCAAGAGAACCACCTCTGACGTGGCCTGGTGTGACATAACCCGGGAAGTGACTGCGGCCATGGGACCCTCCCTGCCAGGCCTCAGCCTCAACTCTCCATCACCTGGGACCGACCCCTCCCTCTGAAGCAGTCCTACCCCCTAGGAGGGCTCTGCCAACCGGAAAGTTCTTCCTTAAAAGCATAGAGCACAAACAGACTGTTCTCTCCCGAGAACACTTGGCTAATAATTAACAGGTTATGGAGATGTTTTCCGCTTAACAAAAAGAAAATTTGTCCTGAACGCCAGACAAGCCCTGACTTCTGGTTTCTTAGGCCTTCCTTTTCTGTCCCTGAGGCCAGCTCCCACGAGGTTCAGCCTTCCGACGCAGTCTCCCCCTTCATTTGAACTGTGGGTGGCCAACTGGTTTTTCAGGACTTGGTCTGGGGGGACAAGATAATGCCGGGCCTCACTCCTAGAAGAAGCCTGGTTGGGAGCCTGAGCCGCCTCCCCCAAGCAGGTGGCTTTTTCTCAGTTGCTCCCGCCACCCGAGCCATGCAACACCCAGAGAGGGCAGCCTTGCTCCCTCCAGACTGATCTTTTCTCGCACTGACGTCCTCTCGGTCCGGCCCTGGCAGGTCCAAAGGAGAACAGCTTTCTCCCACTTGCCTTCCTCACCCCTCTCCCCAGCTCCCCGCTCATCCCCTCAGAGCAGCCAGCCTGTCACTGTTTCTGTCTCAAGAAGATGATCAAATACTTTCCCAAGAGAAGGCCTGATGCCTCACCCCGGTTTAAACTCCTAATAGGCGCACCCCGAGAAGAATGAAATGGACCTCAACTTGGCTCCTACCTTTCCAGCCCTTCCAAGAGCGTTTCCCTGCCAGAGGCGTGGAGAGCAGCACCCCGCAGACGGTCTGGTCTGGTCCCTGGAATGCGGGCTGACTCCCGAGGCTGGGCTGTTTGTGGGTGTGCCGGAAAGCCAGCCCGTGGGAGTGGTTACCCTGAGGAAAGAAGGTCATTGGGTGGTTGGGGAGGGAAAGCAGGCCAAGCTGGCCCTAGTGGAATTGCCTCACCTCCTTCTCCTCTGTTCCTTCCTCCCCTAACTCCTCCCCAGCCCTAGGTTTCGCCGGCCAAGTATTCCTTGTCAATGACCTCGGCGGTTTGTACAGACTTAGCCACTGACCTTCAGCACAGCAGCAGCAGGGGAATGAAAATGAGACCAAAAATAGCCTGTTTGGAAAGGTGTACAATGGTTTCTTTAATGAGAGGCCCTTTGCTCTCTCCCAATTACCTTAGCTATTGACTCATTTTTGCTGGAGGCTCCCACGGTGGAAATGGGCACCTGACAGATATGCATGATGTTTCTCAGAGTCAGGCCACCCCACCTGAGAGCTGAGACTCCAGTGTGGCCGCACAGGTGGCAGAGTCCCAGCTGTGTCCCGTCCTAGCGATGGGCTCCTGGACCAGCGGGTTCTCTCTGCCTCCCTTTCTTCATCTGCGTGTATGAAATGGGGACATCATGCTAACCGGTACCATCGCCTTCAGCGTTGCTGTCGCTTTATTAGAGACGTTATGGAGTATGGCGTCTGCGTGAACCTTGAGCCCATCCCCTCCCCAGCAGCCTTTCTTCCTTTGCTGCTGTGATCTTTCCTCAATCATAGGGCTTTTCCAGAAATAGAAGCTTTTCTTCAGGCAGCTGGCCTGACAGCCTGTGTGCCCTCCAGCCTTCCTTCCACAAGCGCTTAGTGGGTGCTCACTGCACCCCAGGTACTGCGCAGTGTGCCAGGTGTCCAAAGCAGCAGGCGTCCCTGCCCTCGGGGATGCACACTCTAGGGCGGGGGGAGGGGCGGGGAGCAGAAACAGCAGTGTCAACAGGTCCGTCCAATACAGAGTGGGGAGTGCAGCTGGGGAGGGATGGACAGGGCCCCTAGAGACCCAAACACTAGTCCTGGCCCCAGGAAAGCTGGTTCCACATTCAGACTGTAGTCCCACCCAGGCTGAGTGAATCCGTTGCCAGAAGGCGCTTCCTGGAATCATCTTTTAAAAAGCTGGTCATTCTAGTGAGCGGCCAAGTCTGAGAACCACTACTTGGCAGGAAGAACTTGAACTAAAGATCTTTGGCCGGGACAGCCAGTCCAGATGATAACATGGAAACTTCTGGGAACTCAGGGCTCTAGCCCGCTGCCCCGCCATCCACCCTCAGGCTCCCGGGAACTCCTCAGCTCAGCCCCTGCCGCTCTGCATTCTGCTTCTGGGTGTAGTGTCCTTGGCTGTGGACTTTCCAGAGTTCCAGCCGCCACTTCCCACCCCGCCCCACTACACAATGTTCTGGTTTCTCATTGGGAAACTTTCATCCATTTTTTTTACTCTGTATTTTCATTCAGTTCTTGAAATAATAATAATTATGTAAATTCACGATTACTGCATCGAATGGTGCTTTCTTCATTTAATCTGATTTTCTTTCTTTTAAGGTCCAAGAAAGATCTCCATATGGACTTCTAGAACTGGTGTTAAAGTCCAGGCTCTTTCATCTTTAGGGCCTTCTAGGGGAAATTCACCCCGACCCTGGCAACATCCAATTCCCCTTCCTTTGGTAATAGCACTCCAATTTCCTTCTTGGAAACCATTCACTTTCAGGCAATCCAGGAGGTACTGACTCCACCCCTTGCTCCCAAGGTGGGTTCATGTCAGGGTTGCATTTGTTCCTAGATAATCCATTCAGAGCTAAGGAGATGCATTGACACTTTTGCTGGGACTGTTGGGAGAGAGGAATCCTCTCTGTCCCCCTGGACTTGAAACTGGCGGAGAAAGAAGGACGATATTGCAGCCACCTTGCCCCATAAGAGAGAACCTGCCTGAGGAGAGGGCCAATGTGGAGGGGAGCAGAATAAAAGTAAGGTGAGGTATAGACCCAGCAGCAGTGTTTGAGCCCCTGGATCTCGCCATGGCTGAAGCTCTAACTCTTCATTATGAGGATCAATACATTTTTATTTTGTTTAAGTTGTTTGGATTGGGTTTTCTGTACTTGAACTGAATACTTTACAAAACACTTCCTCATATGATATGCTATTCAATGCCTTCAATGATTGTGTGGAAGGGCTATTCATTTGCTTACTATGTAGACAAGGAAATGAAGTTCACAGAGAGTAAGTAATGGGCCCAAAGTTATAGAACTAGGAAATAGCAAAGTCGAGATTTCAACTCAAGACTCTCTGATTCCTAATCATTACACTTCACTGCCTCCCAGGTTAAAGGGGAAAGAAAAGTTAGAAACAAAACATGAATCTGCATGGCGCAGTTATCTCCGTAACATCAGTGCCTGCCCTGCACTCGAGACATAGAAATGTTGATATCTAAACCAACTCATGCCCCACCCTGTACAGCATAAAACTAAGAGAGCCTTGGCAAGCAGCCCTATTAGTAGATGCAGATGTACTCAAATCTGCAGGGTGAAGCAAAAGTAGGTTTACAGCTGTGAGAATGCAAAACAGAGTTTATTCTTGTATTATTACTTATTCATTATTGTGTTATTTTCTGTATGAACCACTGTAAACCCACTTTTGCCCCACCCTGTACATAGAAGAAATCTCTGCTAGAGGACTATGTTCTTCTTTTACACAGAAACTGGAGGCTCAGTGAATAAAATTTTTTTTGTGCAGGGAAGGGGGGGGGAGGAGTGACGTCCCTCAGCCTGGCCTGCACCCTTTCCACTCTGGGACCCTTTGGGGGATGTCCGACTGCCGGTTTAGACCCGATCTTCCAGGAAGCCCAAACCACTTCTGCCTGCCAATTTGATTGCCCCTAACGGCTCCCCTGCCGGCCTGATTGATGCCTAACTGCTCCCCTGCCATCCTGGTTGCCCCTAACTGCCCTCCCCTGCCAGCCTGGTTACCCTAACTTCCCTCCCCTGCAGGTCTGGTTGCCTCCAACTGCCGGGCTGGTTGCCCATAACTGACCCCCTGCCAGCCTGGTTGCCCCTAACTGCCCTCCCCTGCAGGTCTGGTTGCCTCCAACTGCCCTCCCCTGCTGGCCATCTTGTGGCGGTCATCTTGTGGTGACATCGTGCGAGGGCATCACGAGAGGGCATGACACCACCTAGGCTTTTATTATATAGGATACCAGTTGTAAATAGCTTCTCACACAATGTCCAGAAAACCAATAGAGTGAAAGTCCATCAGGAAATAAGTGGTTACCATGAGGAGAAAAAATTTAAAAACAACAATTAGGGTTCCAGGCTGCCTCCCTAAAAGGCTGTTCTGTGTCATGACAGGCTACCCAACCAGAACCCTTCAGACATGCCCCAGGAAAACTTCAAGGGTGTCATAACTGCCTAAGGTTCTTCCAGAAACCGCTGGGGGAGGGAGTGGAACCAGGTAACTGCATAATTCAATCTTGGATCCTCTCATTTTGTCCAAAACATATTTGGTTAATCTGGTGGGGGGGAGGGGAAGAGAGAGCCTTGTTGGCAAGGTGCGCAGGAAGGAAAAGGGCATCATTCTTATTAATAATAATAAAGTAATAACATCAAACATTTATTAAGTGCTGCTTGTGTGCCCGGCACTTATTAAGCAATTTACAGGCACCTTTTCATCCATGTTAATGGCACTGCTCCTCAATGAAAAAGACAGATTGCATTCTGTGTCCACGTCACATTCTGGCAAGTGTCCTTCTCACATCACCCTTCCATTCAAGTGTCTGGACAATGCGTTTGAATCAAAAAGTAATGAACACCAGTCAGAACCAGGAATTTCTCAACTAGGTCCACTTGGCTGACCATGTGAGAACAATGACCAAAGTTTGGACACAAAAGCACTGCCTTTTCTGACCAGAAGGTGAGTGTGTGCAAAGCATTCTCAGGAAAATACAGAGTGAAATCCTTCTTGGCTAAGTGTTCATGGACCCTGACCCTGCCTCCAGGCCTGCTTTCTGGCTGGACCTGTGAGAGGAAGCTCAAGTCATTCGAAAGCAAGATGCAGTATGAGTAACTCAAAAGCATATCCAAGGTGGTACTGATTTCCTCAAAATAACTGCACAGTACTTTCTGCTTGGCATAAGAGAAGCCTTTTCCAGCCTACTCATGTTTATTTAAAAATACAGCCAGTGTGGCTCAGTGGTTAAGCATCAACCTAGGAACTAGGAGGTCATTTCGATTCCCGGTCAGGACACATACCTGGGTTGTGGGCTCGATCCTCAATGAGTGGCATGCAGGAGACAGCCGATCAATGATTCTCTTTCATCGTTGATGTTTCTATCTCTCTCTCCCTCTCCTTTCCTCTCTGAAATCAATAAAAATATATTTTAAAATGTATATATATTTGTTGAGCCCACAGCCTACATCTACCCATCTTCTTGCTGTCTCCCACTGCAGAAGCTGGAAAGCTATTGGCCACCTCATCACCTTCCCCTGTTGACCTCTCACACACACACCCTGCAACCTCACCATAATGAAGAAATACTCTCCCCACTCAGCCAGCTTGGCCCAGTCCCTTGCCTGCACAGCCCCATCATGGCCAAACGAACAGAAAACATGGGCAGAAACACCTCAGGGAATGTGTGGAAAATGCACAAACCTCACAACGTGTGGAGAACAGAATGTACGGACAAGGTGATAGAACTTCTCTAGTCCTAGGTTTATAGAAAATCGTTGCTGAAAGAAATTACAGAGGAAGGAGAGGTCTTATGATTCAGTCTCCATTTTAGAAAATGAATTAGGATGTGTAAGTGCTAACAGGATTCCAAAGCTTCAGATTCTAGGCCCAGGGGAGGAAATTGTCAGGAAAGCAGCCATGGGCCTCACTCAGAAAATGAATGCCATATGGCTCTGGCCACTGTTAAATGATGTCTAAATGGAATGGGTGACCACCTTCATCACAGGCTCCAAACCACAGTCACCCACTGCGTCCTCCCAGATGGTAAAGCCACAGGACAGCAGTATCTGGAAGATTGGAAGGTTCTGTGTTATGGCCCTACTAGCATATTCTGGATTTCATTTCACAGAATGTTGGAGCAATCTTCCAAAGCGATCAAGCTCCTCCCAGTGCTCTGGGCCCTGGCCCAGCTGTGCAGGGCAACATCTTGCCCTTCCTGGAGAGAATACAGGAGTAGGGTTGAGTCTCAGGACACCCTCCTGATAGTGGAGATGGAATAGGGGCTGCTGGCACCTCCAGCTGGGGATTGAGGCATGGAACTTCTGTCCATCTCAGCATAAGAAATGTTCACACTGGTCCTTTTCTACACAACTATTACATGAGAAGCAGATATTTATTTCTTATTGGTCTGTTGCCTTCAAAAGCCAGAGCAGAAGAGATGGAAGCTAACTATTGGCTCAACAATTTGATTTTACTCATAGAGATGTATTTGAATAACCAGAGCACTGCTAAGATTGGGTATTATTGACCAG